TCTAACTGCCTATAATATTTCTATCTAACTTGGCTGCCTACAACAAAAGCACAAGCAAGCCCATTTAAGAGTTGTTAAGTACTGGCACTATCTATATCTGTCACCTCATAGAAGAAGTAACCTACCCTCTGAGTACCTGTTTCCTCATATATAAATGGAGATGTTGACCTTAGGCTTTTTTTTTTTTTTCTTCAGTACTGGAATTGAATTCAGGCCCTTGAGCTTGCCAGGCAAGTGCTTATTCCACTGAGCTATCTCCCCAGCCCTCAGGCTTTGTTTTTCATTTCCTTTTATGTTTTGTTTGCTTTGCTGTGCTGGAGATAGAACCCAGCAGCCACTCTGCCATCTTCCTAGCCTCTTTCAGGACTTTTTTTTTTTTGCGGTGCCAGGGAGTGAATTCAGGACCTTGTGCTTGCCAGGCAAGTGCTTATTATACTGAGCTATCTCCCCAGGCCCAGGACTTTTTTTTTTTAAAGGTTAAATGAATTTCAATTTTTTAAGGAACCAGTGAATCAAGTTTGAAATAATACCAAATGTAAAAATCACCAGACATCATCCTAACAGAAGCAGAGGGCCGGAGAGATGGCTCAGTGGAATAAGCGCTTCCCTGGCAAACGCAAGGGCCTGAGTTAAATCCCCGGTTCCGCAAAAAAACAAAACAAAACAAAACAAAAAAACCTAACAGAAGTAGAAAGAAAATGTGCAGATCCGGAGAGAGCTGCACTTCAGTCCTATCAGGCACTGCACTTGCTTGCTGGGAGGGTTCTCCTGCCTGGCCCTGCCCTGCCAGGCACCTAGCGTATGGTGTCATCGTGGGGGACGGCAGGTCGTGCCCGGGATCCTGCTGAGATTGCACCTGATCCAGGAGTAGTTTTCTTGGAGCCAAAGCAAGATACTGTTGCTAGAAAAGTGGGGAGTGGCTGCTGGCCAAGCATAGCATTGAAGTGTCTGGAGCCTACGCTAAGCATCCTTCATGCTGATAATGGGTGTCAGGCCCAGAAGGGAAGGCTTGCAAGAGTAAGGGCCCATAGGGGCCAGGGAGATAGCTCAGTGGAATAAGCACTTGCCTGGCAAACTCAAGGACCTGAGTTCAATCCCCGGTTAAAAAAAAAAAAAAAAAAAAAGTAAGGGCCCATGTAATCCAGAGGTAAAGGAAAGAAAAGAACAGGAAGGGTTTCTTTTTTCTTTTTTTTTCAGTAAGGGTCTACAGTGTCTACAGGGCCTCACTACATAGATCCAACTCTTAGTGATCCACCTGTGTTCAGCCCCCCAAAGAGCTGGGATTACAGGGGTGCACCACCATGCACAGTCTCAGTTGCTGTCTCAGTGAGCTCGGGGGCAGGGCTGCAAGGCATGGTGGTGATGAGACCCTTGGAAGGGTTTCAAAAATAGCTGTGCTTATCCATTACCGAAATTAACCCATTGGCATGCATTTAAATGCTACCTAAATGCCCATTAACAACAGCAGGAAAAAATTCACACAGTGGACCTCACAAAACTAGAAGGGAGGGGCCGGCGAGATAGCTCAGCAATCTAAAGCACCTGCTTAGGCACAGGGGACTGGTTCGATCAGGCCCTCAGGGCAGCTGAGATAGGGGGGGTGGGATAAATAAACAAAACTAGAAGGGACCATCCTGACTACCCACCACCATGTGGTGAATCTCTTGATCATTAAAGAAAGTAAAGGCTAAAAGCTAACACCAAACTACTCAATTTGTGGAAAGTACAAAGGCAGGCAAACTAGTTTTTGTTGTTAGGAGCCAGAGGTCATAGCTCTGAAGCATCAGAAGGAAGAGTGATGAAACTGGCTTGCAGATTGGTAGAACATTTGATAGGTGTCACGGTTTGTAGATGGAGTGGTATGTCTCTTTAGGAGTCAGTGATTACTGGGAGGTTAGAAATTGGCTGGAAGGAAATACACGGAGTCAGTCAGCTGGCCAAGATGTTTGTGTTTTTTTTTTTTTTTTTT